AATAAAACAGACAAGCTGCAGGCTCTGCTCAGAGATTCAGGAGATAGGATGCAGCCAGCGCACTTTCCAGCTGCCTAGGCACAAAACAAAAGCATCCAAGTTGTCATGACTTAGGTTCAAACAGTCCGATTTGCTACCCCGAGTTCCACGAACCCTGCACCTTACCACCTCCACCACTGCCTTCTACACACACGAGTTCTCCTCACTCAGTGTTCCAGCCACTCTTAGGAGCTGACATTCTCTCCAAAAACTTTTCCTCATAAGCGGGATATGCAGGCTCCTCCGGACTCCCTAATCCGCTCCAGACTCACCTCTTTATATGGGAGAAATTCCCCAGAACTTTCCCGTTTGGGAAGGACGCTGGCTTCCCCGCTTCTCCTAGTGGGCATCCGCCTTCAGTACTCTGCCTAGACTCTTCTGACTATGTGACTCAGGGTCTCCTTGTAAAATGAAAGGTGCAGGGCCACAATTCCTTTCATAAGTCACTGTTTTCTGTTTTCGGGAGAAGGGCTGGGGGCCCCTGCTGCAGGGGGCTCTGGGCTGCGGTCACCCGTGTGCAGTCACGGTGGGGAAGAACCACGACACGGACACAAGGTGCACACGTCACACTGGGAGGAAGGCATCACCTTCCTTGGAGGTGAGAGGCGGTGCCATCAGCCTGCCCGCTGGCACATCCCCATTCCAGGCTCTTCGCCAGGAACCTGCTGGCTGCCGGCCTGGACAACATGAGCTTGTGACAGACAGCCTTGGGGCTTCTTGCCCAAAAATGTGAGTCGGTTAAGAGCCTATAAGCAGCTGAAGATTCTTTCACAGATGGAACGAGGCTCTGATGAATGCAGCTCATGGGGACCTGGGAACAACAAGGGGTAGGGAAAGTGCAAGTTCCCCGGCCAGCATTCTCACCTGACCCTGGTCTGCTTGCCCACCGTGCACGTGCAGTGCTCGCAGGCACAGGCGCGCACACAGTTGGCAATGGGCTGTTATTGACTTTATAAAGAGCTCTGCCCAGGGCTCTGGGGTTGTGAAGAGGCAGAGAGGCCTGGAGACAGAGACCAGCTTGCTGCATGCAGACTTGCCCTGAGGCAGATGGGATTCTAGCGCTTGAGGTGCCACCACGAGATAAAGCTAGGTATAAACCCGTTAGCCCCCAACTGTTCCGTTGTCATTTTTGGGTCTCACTGAATCCAGAGTGAACTTGCCTGGGGCTGAAACCTTCAGGCGAGACACAGGGCAAGCTGCTCCCCGGTCAGACCTGGCCGAAGACTCCCTCAGCCAAGCCCTCCACGTGGCTGCAGCAGGCCGTGACCCCCACCGGCCCTCGCTCCCTGAGCTTTGGGCCCCTGCCCTCATTCAACTGCCTTCACGCTTGGATGAGGGTTTACTCCAGATTCCAGGGAAAGTTCTTGCAGCATGACTTCATTCTGACACTTTTCACATCACTTAGTAGCTTGTAGTTCCCTGAAAAATAGCTAAAAGCAGTCAATTTCACAATCACAGGAAGGAAGTTCTACGGCTGTTCTTGTCTCTACCAACCCTAACGCCTTCCACTCAACCCACTAGACAGTTCAGTCTCACCTTGGAGGACTAGGGGCCCCGCCCCTTCCCCACCACCAGGAAGGCAGCCCTGGAAAGAGCTTTCCTGGCTCCAGGTCCTTCTGCAGGAGCTGCTCTGCACCGCTCTGCATGGCCCACGGCGTGAGAGAGAAGAGGAACAACACAGAAAGACGCCGCAGGGATGAAGTCTTGGAGCAACGACTCAGTTCTGGAGCTCAGGACTCTCCCGGGGACACCATAATCTCCTGGGCCACGTGGTAAAGGGGGTTCAGGGCAGGGCCATGCTTTCTATCCAATCCCCCACCTAACACTGGATTGCCTGGCTTCTTTCCTTTTTTTTTTTTACCTTGAAGGGTGAGAATTAAAAAACTGAGTCAGTCGCATGGGGTCTGTGGCAGGGAAGGTGGCATGCACAGTGAATATTAAGCACAAACACATTAGCTAGAAGCTCAAATTACATGCCCAAAATGCCATTCACAATTCTAATTAGCAGCCATTAATAGGGCACTAATGGCAAAGGAGTAATTTTCATCTGAGTCTCTATACTGAAAGTGAATGACAGCTGTGAAATTCCCATCATGGGTGTGAAGGTCAGATGGAAGCCAATCTAACCTCTGATAAGTTCTAGGGTACCAGTGTGAGCGCCTCTGGTCAGACCTGGGGCAGCTCCTTCTGTCACCAAGTGGCGGGGCAACTTCAATAGTGCCAGGCAGCTGGAGTTTAAACATCATGTATGTATAATACACATACTGCTGTGGGTCAGATTCTGCCCCATAAGAGACGTTCAAGTCCTAAGCCCCAATATCTGTGATGTGACCTAATTTGGAAATAGGGTGTTTGCAGATGAGAGCGAGGTGGGGTCACACTAGTGTGGGGTGGGCCCTGAATCCTGTGACTAGTGTTGCTGGAGCAGAGGCATGAAAGAGATTCTCCCCACTTGGAGTCTCAGGAAGGAACCAACCTGCCCAGCACCTTGATCTCAGACCTCCGCCCTCCAGAGCTGGAGAATAAACTTTGGTGGTCTTAAGCCACCCAGTCCATGGAGATTTGCTGTGGCGGCCACAGGACTCAGACACACACACATTTGTCACACACACGCTCACAGCTAGAAGGGGATTTGCCTGCACAAAAACCTGACTCTTAAATTACTTTCATGGACTCACAGGCTCCCTACTGAGTTACCCACTTTTGCATTAATTCACTAAAAACCACACACAATACTTAAACCTATCCCTCATTTAAACAGCCTCATCTAAATCATGTGAATCAGCTCTTTGCTGCTAGAATAAACTATCAACCAAAACGTATTACACAATTAAAACACAACAGATGCTACCCTACCAGATTCAGCCACAATCCACCTGATGAGAAGCACGCTCCACTGGGAACGTGGAGGTCACCCTGCAGTTTTCTAAAAAGTGGGAATTCTTCCAAAAACAGAAGGCCCTTACCATCTTCAACCACAGCAGCATAGAGCTCCCACCAAGGACAGAGTAGCTAACGGATAGTCACATGATAATTAAAACAAAAGAACAACCAGGTGCAGGCAGAGAAGAGCAGCGGACGCCAACAGGCTACAGGGACAGGCGGACCCCTGCCACACCAGCAGCAATGTGCCTCCACTTCAAGTCACTGCCCACATGCAGCCAGAAGGCAGCTCATCACTCTAGCAGTTGTAAGTGGACAGGAGGAAAAATTAGAAGATAATAACTACATCAAAAGAGTGGAGAGGCCCCGTACTCCCCCTCAGCTGGGGCCGACGACTCCTTGAGCTGTGCACTAACCTGACCCCTTCAGTAAGAACGGACGCCCCCTTCCAGCTACAGGGCCCCTGAGCATGAGTGAGAACTTCAGTGTGGACAGACAGCAAGAAATCAAGTTGCATTTGATTTCTCATTCATTTCCTTTCAGAAACAACGAATTATGGTTCACTCTTGATGCCAAGTGAGACTGGCCTGGCACGCAGGTGGGAAATGGGAGTCCGTCTCATTGAGAGGTCAACATGTGGCCACCTGCCTGGTTCCTAAAAGGCACGGGTGCTGGCCCCTGGGAAACAATTCTTTCAGGACTAGGAGGCCCTGAGGCACCTCTGCTGGGGTGCAGCTGGGGTGGGGTCGCTCTAAGCTCCTGGCGCCCCACGGAACAGTCTCACTGACCTGGGGTCTGGAGGTGAGAGGACAGGCAGGCAGGGCAAGCTCCTGAGAGAAGGACCTGGGACAATCTTTCCCTGACCCAGAAGGCCTTGGGCACAGGTCCCACCCCAGGGAGAAGACAGTTCTACTCTGAATGAAGGGGCAGCCTTTCGTGTACTCACACACGCTTCTACCCTTTAAAATAACATTTTTTAAATCATATGCGATGCCATGAATTTTCAGGAAAGTAAAACGTGTTACGTGAAGAATCGATTAAGTGGTGCTACTAGAGAACACAGGTTGGGTCACCCCCCGACCCCCAGCTACAATTTTCACTTTTGAAGTATGAACATTCAAGAGAAACGCCTTCATTCCAATCAAAACATATGGGCCCCTTGTGAAGAAATCGCAGTCGGGCCCAGATGTGATGGAACAGACCGTGCGCGCCGGAAGGGAAGCCAGAGTGTCAGCCCCAAAACCAGAGGCCCGGCCCACGTGGCCTCCCCCACCCACAAGTAGCACACAAGGGGAGAGCAGGCTGACTTACTGAAGAGGCGATCACTCCACACGGGGCGGGCTGACCAGTCCCCTCAGCAGCTGGTGTCACTGACCTAGACAACTGCTAGCCCGGAGGAGTAAGCAGAAAACCCGGGAAGAAAGCTCTCTCCAGGTGTCATTGGAACGCCTGAGGCTAAAACCCAGACTCAGACCCAGACTCAGACACCCGGAGGCAAACGCAGCCCCAGCACAGCCCGGGGATGGAGCCCAGGAGAGACGTCAGAAAATCTCTGAACTGTCTCTCCTGCCTCGCCTCTCTAAATCATGCCATTTTTAGCATCTGTTGTTTCATCAGAGAGCCACGCTTTTTCTCACTGGAGCTCCCACATTTGAGCCTCCGCCTCTCATCTTTCCAAATTGTCACCTCATTATGAATAATGGAAAAAGTAGCCTTTCCTGATGTGACCACCAGTTGAGGTTTTTATGGCAGCGCTAAAAATTCTGCAAAACAATGGCAGAGCCCCAAGCAAGGACATTCACAGAATCCCACCCTTTGCCCCTTTTCTGGATGGTTCCATGGTCCCAGGACAGGAGTTAAGCACTAGAACAGGTTGTTAGGGGTGAAGCTACTGAGGACTACTGCTAAAAACACTTCTAAGGGACAAAACAGGGTGAAATGTTTAACTTAAAAAAGAAGGATCAAATGAAACCAAATAGGATGACACACAGGAGGGGGAAGGGAACACTACGGTACAGAGTCGTGCCTCCTCTCTCTTCAAACAAGACAAGGCTGCCATGAAGGAAATGTATAGTTACCTGCGTCCATATCTGCAAAGAATGGAACAGCCAGTAAGAAAAAGAAGGAACCAGAAATTCAGTGTCTCAGAGTTGGATTTTACAAGGTTATATGGAGAGAAAAAATAATATAAGAACACTGCTTGGGACCTACACCTCGATTAGGGGACACAAGAGTTCAATGGTTTCCTATCACTGCTATCATAATTTCATTTAAAGCAAAAAAGAAAATATGAATATGTTAACTGAAGTAAAAGCCTAATGGCAAAAGAAATACCTTGTTCTGGTGCAAAATGATTATTTAATGTTTATAATACAATATAAGGGGGGAAACATACTCAGATACATGGGCATGGCGATCTGAAAGGCTACGAGACTAAGTAACAGTGCCTACAAATTGTGGATAGACTCAATATTCAGATCAGAGTAATGTCCAAGCAATATTTAAAGGAGTAACACTGGATTAACATTCAAAATGACAGAACTATTAGGAAAGAAATAATAAATTCAATAGAATTTCAGGGTTCTCCCCTATTGCTCCAAACACCAAAGGGAATATAACTGGTTAGCTAAAAATACTACAAAAGACACAATATACTTAAGGATTTTTACCACTTGGTAGTCTATTACTTTTTTTGACATGTGATGCATCAAAGTAATGATTCAGAATACGCTACAGAAAAATTTTAAAAACTAAACTCTCTTAAAGTCAAGATGGTGTACCCAACTGCATACCTTCGGGAGATTCCTCCTGCACGTATGTGCCAGTCAGATACCGGTGCACCAGGGCCGACTTGCCGCTGGCCAAGTTACCCACAATTCCCTGAAACAAAGAATCAGACAACTGTTCAGTATGACTCCATCACTGCATTCAGCAATACGCAAATACAGAGAGATTACAATGCACAGTAAGTCTAACCAAGCATACTCATAACTAAGCTCTGGCTGGAAGGCCAAAAGCTGGCTCATTAAATCATTCTGCTGCAGCAAATGGGGTTCTAACATCCTCAACTACCCCCCACATTTGCATCAGCCTCAACAGCCTAAGAGCATCCACGCTGTCCGGGAAGCACACACCAGTCAAGCTCCTCCAGACAGTGTGCGGTGGTCCTCCAGGACAGTGAGTCAGCCCCTCGGCACCCACGTGCTAAATGGGACTCGGAAGTGGCGAGAGTGACATGAGGATAAGAAGAATCCTCTGGTGCCTTCCATCCCGACTTTGGGTGGGCTCTGGGGCCGGGTGAGAAGGGCCACATCCAGACAGAATGGTGTGGGGATGGGCTGGGGGGCTTGGGGCTGGGACCAAGGCAGGAGGTCAAGGGCAAGCCCACTCCTCTGGAACATGGGGGCTGCACGGCTGAGACAAGAGAGGCCGTGGTCGGGCGGTAAAGCTGTTCACACGGTGAGGATGACCGTCGAGTCAGGGTGACACGAGGGCCAGCACTACAGCGAGTGAGAGAGCACAGGCTGAAATGGATGAGTAACGAGCAATGATCGCCTGGTCGGGGGTGGGGGGCACAGTAGCTGGGCTTACGGTGTGCGTGGGGAGGTGCTGACCCCTTGGGAAGCCTGCCCCCTGTCAGCACTCAGGACCTCATTCCCCTCCTCTACCCTCTCTCCCAAGCTGCTGATCAAGAGCCTCCTCCTATTTAATCTTTTTCTCCCCACTAGAACCTTTCTGTCTGCATGGAGGCATGAGCAAATCAATTCTTTAGGAAAAACAGAACAGGAGTCTGTCTCTGGTCAGAGGCCCCCAGGGCCAGGCGCAAGGCCACGCTGCCCCGACCAGTCCCTCCCGCCTCCATCCGCACAATCCGCGGCCCTGATCCTACTGGGGCAAGGATGATGCCCAACGTCCCCCGTGACTTTGCTTCTGAAACGACCAGCATCCCTCCCGCTCCGGGCACAGCCTCGCCACCAGAAGCTGCGGACCAGACTCTCTTCAACCTTCCATCTGGGATCCTTCCCTGCGTGTCCTGGATTCTCCCAGATCCTTGATTCTGCCACCCCCAAGTGTGCCTGACCAAGTCCTGCTTCCTCTCAGCAAGCCACTGATCCCCAACCTCCTCCTGCACCCCCCGCCTGCACCAGGAGGTCCAACTCCACCAGCAGGACCAGCCAGCGCCTCATCCACCTGCACACTGCTGGCACCGCCAAATCCTGCCACTCTCCCCGGCAGTGTGCTCGCCAATTCTCCCACCACACCCCCACCCGGCCTCTCAAACCAGGAACGTGGAAGCTGTCCCGGGCCCTGCCCTTACAGGCACCTTTGCCGGCACCCCGGGCAGGCTGCGCTGTCAGCCGGAGCAGGCACAGCCTTCAGCGGGCTCCGCCTGCAAACGCCCCGCTTCACCCTGTGAATATCTGAGAGGGTCTGTGAAACTGCCACTTGGAAATGCCACTTCCTCAGTTCACAACCCTTGGAAAGATGCCCAAGTGCCTGCAGGCCAAAGGCCAACTATTTCACGACAAACGGCAACGGGCTCCCTCCAAGCCCACACACGGGCCTGCGGACTTGACCATCCCCCCCTCCTTCCTCCTTCGCCTGGGCTCCCTCCTTTCAGCTGAACGGGGCGTGTGGTTTCCCTGCTTCTCCTCTGCACCCCTGCAAGGCCCTGCCCTGTGCCTGGTGGGGTTCCTGGCTCTCCACCCAGTTCTCAGGCCCCTGAAGACCAGGAACTATGTCTCTGGACAGCAGCAAGGACACCCACTCTCAATCCCTACACTTAACAGCTTCCAGCCCAACAAGGTGCCTGGGAAATAGGGGGCGGGTGGGTGGAGAGGAGCTTGGTTGGGGGGACAAATGCACGATGACCTCAACAACTGGAACAAACGTAAGAGAGGACAAAGTTGCCATGAAGTTGTAGAAAATGAGTTACAAGCGGACCCTTAACCCAGCCTGCCTCCCTCTCTCCAGCCACAGCCTGTTAGCCTCTCAGCTTCCTTCCCAGCCTGGTCAGTCTTCTCCACCCCCCACTCCCAAACCTCACCCCAGCAGGCCCTCCAACCCGACACCCCGCCCTTCCCACGTCAGTCACCGCCCACAACACTTTCCCCCTCGGTGGTCAGCAATCACTTTGGATGCCACCTCCTCTGAGAAGCTTTCCTAATGCCACAGCCTCAGCCAGGCTCCCCTCCTCAAGCTCCCTAGTGACCTCCTCCTGAGCTGTCCTGTGACTTACTCCGTTTGCCCATGTTGGTTGCTGGGTCTGTCTGCTTCCCTAAGGGCAGGGCTGATGTCTTATTTTTCCCTGGGTCTCTGTATCCCAGGGCGGCACTGAGCCCAAGACAGACTCTCAACGACACTGTTTAAAAAAGGAATGAATGAACAAATGATTCTAAGGCAGTGTGGGTGTGTATCAGGGAGATGCTATGTGGACGGATCCTAAATCAAGCTGTTTCCTTTCCTATTTGACTTATGACTCCTTTTTACCTTGGGCCTTTATAATCTGAGAATTTCTACCTATTAATTATTCTTTTTCCCAAGGGCATCTGCTGTTTGTCAGCTTCATGCTGAGAAAATCCAAAACAGTATGCCACAGAACTAAAATTTTAATTAAGATTAGAGTCTCTCTTTCCCGAGGAGGAAAATGCTCAAAATCAAACACTGTTCAGTCTGTGCTTCCTGTATGGGGCAATATTCCTTCCTTCCTTAACATGTCAATGATTTGCAAATAATTAGTTTACACTTTAGGAGGATAAAATCAATCCACCTTGGAGGTGGAGCGGGAAGGTGTTTTATTTGGTTTGAATAGTCATCTTACATTGCCGCTCACCATGGGCATTATTTTAACTTGAAACACTGGCAGAAACTAACAGCTGACTGTGAAGGGGGAGTAAAATATGGGCTGAAAACAATCTCTGAGCTGCACAGCTCCACACGGATCCCTGAACTGCTACTGGATGCAAACACGAGAGAGCATAACCAGTCCATTCCGCGTCCAGAGGCTTCAGGGGGAGAAACAAAGGCGTGAAGGCACCCTGAAATTGCAGAACTACCTAGTTTAGGTGACAACAGGTCGTCACCATCAGCCCTGCATCCTCCGGCAGGGCCACGCACTGCTACGGCCCCGTACCCCACATCTTCAGATTACAAGAGGGAGAAGAGCACGGGTTCTTTCTAACTGCTTTCTCCACCATCTCACACTTTACCACTTACCTGCTAACCATGTGGTTTGCTAAAAAGGAATCGAAGCTTTTAGTAAAAATCCCAGTTGGGAATTCCATGAGAACACACAAACAGGATGTGACAGGTTGCTGACCAACACCCCCGCTACAGGCACCATATCTGGGGTGTGTTTACTCTCTGCCCAGATACAAGCACTGAGCACACCCTGCCTGCCCGCGCCTGCACAACCAGTGTCGGCACCACGAGTGTCAGTCATTATCCAACCGTAACACAACTTCGGAAAACATAAGGCATGGCACGACCACTCTTGAAAAGAAAGCAAACATTGAAAATTTTTCTCTGAGACGGATTCCAGAAGATTCATTGCAAGATACATAAAGAGTCCACTTGAGGCTTGTGATTATGTCATTTAATTGCTGCATTTGGCGCTGACCTAAGGGGCCACCTGGCCGGGGGGCTGGTGTGCGCAGCAGGGAAACAATTGCAGCCCTGTGGACACGTGGAGGCAGCCTCTCAACAAAGGAGAGTGTTCTCCATAGCACAGAAGGGCCCTGCTGAGGACAAGCTGCCAACAGCTTCCATTTCGGGAGGGCCCTCGGGGTCAGCAGAGCCGGCCACCCTGCCGAGGTCCTGTCTGTCCACACACAGGTCAGGTGGTGGGACAGAAAGGACTTCCTCCCAAAGAACAGCAGAATCATTTGTGTCCTTCCTGGGAGATGCGGTCAAGCCCTTCGGCAGAGCCAAGCAACCTTTTAACATTTGGTCAAGTTTTAGGAATGTGAATCTATGCTCCCTTTTAATGCAATATCCTCTTAACACCTCTGGGTATTTCTTCCAGAAAAGAATGCACTTTTGAAATGTAAATTTTTGGTAGAGAGCATCCTGAATCATCGCCATGTGGGTTCTGGCAGGGCCTCTTAACTACCAAAGTAGGGTCTAAATCAGAAGGTCCGATACTCGGTGACCCTTCAGACTACTGCTGTCAAAGGCCTCTGGCCTCATTTGACTACCTTAACTTGAACAAATAAAATTTAAAATTCAGCTCCTAACCACACTTCAACTGCTCCATGGCCACTCAGGGCCAGCGACTACCACCCTGAACAGCAAAGATGAGCAATGTGCCCACTGGTGCAGAAAGTTCTAGTGGCAGTGCAACAAAGAAGCCCAGACTCTAGGGGCAAATCTCAGCTCCACTGTTCACGACTGTGGCTTGCCGGGCAAGCTCTTCATCTGAGAGTCAGCTTCCTCCTCTGTGAAATGGGGTAAGAACAGCGCCCAGCTCAAGGGGCAGCTGCCAGGGATAAATGAGCCAATTACATAAAGCACTTTAAAAGTGTAGTCAGCGTCATCAAAACACCACGCCTGTTGTTTTGTCCTGATGGTAGAACCGAAATGGCTCTTCAGCTGTTGGCCCAGGGAGTATCTGAAACCAGCAAATCTTTCTGAAAACTCCCAGTAACAATGCTGGCAACTTTGTAGCATTCACTCCATGGGTGTTTCCTGCATGTGTCCTGTAGCTGCATTGTGCCAGGTATGGGGGTCACAAAACATGGACGACCAAAGAGGTGGCTGTGTCAAGGCCAGTCTTCTCAACAGGCCCAGGAACTGCTGCACATCAGCAAAGGAACCCACGGGCGGTGCCGCAGAGGATGGTCAGAGCTGTGAGGAACGGGGGCAACTGGAAGGAGATGGGTCCCGACGACACCCACCCCAGCGGTGAGGCGGGCTCAGTGACCACGCCCCCCGACTTCAGGGTGTCTCCCCACAAGGCATCCTTTATTTGTAGGTTTAAAAATGTGTTTTTCCTGGTGACAGCCCAGAAGTTCTCACTTCTCAGAAGTGAGAAACCCAGAGGGCCCTGTGCCCGGACCCTCAGCACTCACAGGGCACCACTGTGTATGGGGCCAGTGGGGAGGCGGCCCGGGCCTCAGGTGGGGGACGGGGCATCACTGAGCGGACAGGCTGGGGCCACTAACAGAAATGTGGGCCTCGGGAGAGAGGACACAAAGGGGAAAGAAATCCCCGGTGAGCAGCCGGGTTAAAGAGCAGGTCCCCCGCCCAGTCAGGCTTCCCCAGCAGGGCACGGAGGCGAAGAGCTTGGCACATACATTTTATAGTCCAAATCCATCACCTGAGAAGTTATGAAACACACACATGTACACACAGACACATCCCCCAAATGCCACCCACCTCATGACAAAGACCGCGGGTATTTACACGTTGTTTGTCCCTTCCTTCCTCCCTAAGGTGGGGCATGCAGTGGGGAGGTGCTCAAAATGTGTGGCTGCTACAGACTCAAGTCATTTTTTACATAAGCTAATTTTAAGCTTTAAACCATCCCACTGGAAGAGTATTTAAAGTTTGTAATAAAAACAAAATTCTTTTAATTTTTTACCACTATTTTATAATAAACAGCTAGTCACTTATTTTTTTAATGATGAATTGCAAAGCTTGGTGGCTTACTGCAGAAACCTTCCATGACGTCTTGCAAAGGGTACATAAAGCCACGGCGAGTGTGTGTGTGAGAGGCAGAGACACAGAACCACACACAGGACCACTCCGACGTGGCTGTCACACACAACCTCAGGGACCCTGCCCCACACTCCCCGCTACAGCTGGCTCTTCCCTGGGATACACACAGAGGCAGGCCCCACACGTGGGCCCCGGGAGATGACCAGGCTCCCTCGGGATACCGGTCAGGGTGGGCTCACAGGTCACATCCCCCACCTCGTACCCAGCCCCCGTTCCTGCACATGAGGAATGACGGCTTCCCAAGGCCAAGGGAACCACTTACCACTTTGAGCTCTGGGACAGACCGACTCAGTGTCCATTCCTGGCTGTTCACAAAGGCATCTATAAAACAAGAGGGAAAGCAAAGTTAGATGCCACAACTCACTTAAGTACAAAGTCAAATACCCCAACGGGCCATCTTTCAAACCAAGACACTTTAGACACACAGACCGACCCCACACATCACTCCCACCCCAGACAAGCTGCGATTTGCTGGTTCACATGGCTCATTTGTTTGAGTCTGTCTCTCTCCTAAGCCACTGGGCACCCACTCCCAAGGGCCTCTGCAACTTCCAGCCCTTCCCCATCTCAAGTGCTCCTGCCCCAGCCCTGCAGGCCCCATACTGCCCAGGGGGAGTGGGAAGACCCTTCTGATCCTACACATTGGCGAGTGTGAAGATAAGCTCCTTAATCCTTTCTGGCCACTGACCCTGTAGCCAGTTAGTCAACTTTTGGTCTTTTCTTTTTTTTACTACAATTTTTCTGAAATCCCACCAACCAAGTAATACAGGTGATGACCGAGCTTTGAAAATCCAAATGTTCACAGTACAACACTTTACACCTTAGAACACTATGTGCTAGAGCTCTGATCCACAGAAACACACCCATCCAAGATCCACTTAGGACTTCAGGATGCGCCAGAAAAACGAGGGGTCCCCCCCCCAGGGTGGAGCCGTCCGCAGAGCCCAGCCCCACCTGGGTCAGCACAGTCCAGTGGCCTCCCCTGGCCGGCCGGCCCTGCCTCTCACCTCACGTGCACAGGGCATGGCAGACCCACCCAATACAGACGGCCTGGCCTGGCTTCCTACGCCCGTTTGCCACTCCTCACCAATGAGTCCCCAACACCAAACCCTACCAGGTACTTATGAACAGACGGACTGAGGGCAAACATACTCCTTCTAAATGGGGTTCACTTTCTACACATTCTATGCATTCATACTCGGAAATGGTATCTCCCTCTACATTATGTCCTAGAAGAAATAAAATGACTCACAAAATGCCTTAAAGTCAAGAAATGCCACCAGTTACAAATACATGATACACGGATCACAGGGCAATGGGAACAGAGCAAAGGGCCTAACAGCACAGCTCCACTGGGGACCCAGGTGGGAGACAACTGCGTGGGACCAACCACGTGCCAAGGAAGCGAGTACAACCCACGGCAACATGAAAATAGGGAGGACAGCCTGCAGCAAATCAGACGCCACCGGCCCTGCACAGACAGAGGCGGAGCCTACAGGCACTGCTCCGAGGAGCACGCGCTGGGGGAAAGGAGGCCCGGGGACTAGAGGATAGACCAGCCTCAAGCCGGAGAAGACACAGGCTGATAAAGACACCTAAAGGAGCCCGGAACCCTTTCAAATCTGAAAGGACTGGCATTCAACACCAGAGATGCTGGACTCTGGGGATCCGCAGGCCCAGCCGGCTGGCAGAGCGGGTGGGCAGAGGTGCGACAGCAGGAGCTCAGAAGGAAAGACGTTTGCAGCAGGGAAGGTCTACAGCCACTTCCAGGGTGGCGCGAGGCAGGCACGACAGGGGCTAAACATCAGGGTGTACACCGCGTACTGCCCCCAAACACCCACTCTGTGGTCAGGAGGCACCATGCCCCACACACCACAGAAGCGACACCACCTACACAGACAGCATGATGGCATCAAAGGCCGAGCCAGGCAGGCACTGGGCAAATGATAACTGGCACTGTCACCAGTGAGCAACACTACTAAGTTACGATACACTTTTCTGTCATCAACTGCTCTCTTGGGAAAACAGGGATGTGGCCTTATAGGGTCTGCAGAGTGAACCCAGTGGCCCAGGGAAGTAAATGACAGAGACTTTCCTAACACGAACTGCTGGCACCAGGGGTGTCCCAGCAGGGTGCCCTGCTGCTGTACTACCACAAGCCCTACACTGGTTAAGTAAATCGGGAGATAGCCATACAGTGGGGTACTAGGCAGCCTGTGAACTCCTGAAGCCCCAACATACCACAGGGCCACTATCCCCAAGCTACAGGAAGTGGTGTGTGTGTGTGCATGCACACATGTACATAAGGGGGTATGTGTGTGCAGATACACACTTAAGCTTTTCTAGGCAGAGAATATTTCTGGTTAACAGCTACTGATTTAGACTTGGGAACCAGGTGGCATAGGGAAAAGGGCAGTGAGGAGACATCCATCTAGTATGTAAATACTATGTAGTTTTTAATATGAACCTTAATAAAACAAAGGATAAAATGGTAGTTAAAATGAGCTCCTTCGTTAATGCACTAATTTTTAAACATACACCACCATAAGAATGTTTGTCACGACAAATATTAAATACCCATTATAAATTAAGTAGGGCCCCATTAAACAAAGATTCATGATTATATAAACATTGGATCACATGTATGGCACCTTTTTACTTGCAAAGACCTCATTTGAATGGAATATGATTATCTTCATGGCAAGTAGATTAATAAAATAAATGTTTAACTTAACTGACTGAAAAAGACTCACCTTCCATTAAAAAAACATCTATTTAAAACCTTTCACCATTGCCTAGTCAGAAAAACCACACTGCCTCAGATGAGACGAAGTGAAAAATGACAGAAGATTTAACAAAAGGTGTACAAATCAGGATACTCCTTTAACTCCTTTATCCAATTCCTCTGTAGAGATCCTTCTGAGGGCTGGTGCAGCCCCTGCCTGGAGGGGTTCTCTGCAGGGTGACTGGAGTTGGGCCCCGGGAGATGACCAGGCTCCCTCGGGATACCGGTCAGGGTGGGCTCACAGGTCACATCCCCCACCTCGTACCCAGCCCCCGTTCCTGCACTTGAGGAATGGCGGCTTCCCAAGGCCAAGGGAACCACTTACCACTTTGAGCTCTGGGACAGACCGACTCAGTGTCCATTCCTGGCTGTTCACAAAGGCATCTATGAAACAAGAGGGAAAGCAAAGTTAGATGCCACAACTCACTTAAGTACAAAGTCAAATACCCCAACGGGCCATCTTTCAAACCAAGACACTTTAGACACACAGACCGACCCCACACATCACTCCCACCCCAGACAAGCTGCGATTTGCTGGTTCACATGGCTCATTTGTTTGAGTCTGTCTCTCTCCTAAGCCACTGGGCACCCACTCCCAAGGGCCTCTGCAACTTCCAGCCCTTCCCCATCTCAAGTGCTCCTGCCCCAATCCTGCAGGCCCCACACTGCCCAGGGGGAGTGGGAAGACCCTTCTGATCCTACACATTGGCGAGTGTGAAGATTAAGGAAGCTCCTTAATCCTTTCTGGCCACTGACCCTGTAGCCAGTTAGTCAACTTTTGGTCTTTTCTTTTTTTTACTACAATTTTTCTGAAATCCCACCAACCAAGTAATATAGGTGATGACCGAGCTTTGAAAATCCAAATGTTCACAGTACAACACTTTACACCTTAGAACACTATGTGCTAGAGCTCTGATCCACAGAAACACACCCATCCAAGATCCACTTAGGACTTCAGGATGCGCCAGAAAGACGAGGGGTCCCCCCCAGCGCGGAGCCGTCCGCAGAGCCCAGCCCCACCTGGGTCAGCACAGTCCAGTGGCCTCCCCTGGCCGGCCGGCCCTGCCCCTCACCTCACGTGCACAGGGCATGGCAGACCCACCCAATACAGACGGCCTGGCCTGGCTTCCTACGCCCGTTTGCCACTCCTCACCAATGAGTCCCCAACACCAAACCCTACCAGGTACTTATGANATTTAACAAAAGGTGTACAAATCAGGATACTCCTTTAACTCCTTTATCCAATTCCTCTGTAGAGATCCTTCTGAGGGCTGGTGCAGCCCCTGCCTGGAGGGGTTCTCTGCAGGGTGACTGGAGCAGGGGTGGGGTGGGGGACGAGACCAGGCAGGCTGCCCTACTTCATTTTAAGTCCCATAGTGCAAGAACACCTGAAGGATACACATGCATCTGGGGCACACCCCTGGGAGCATGTGCATGCATGTATGGGAATGTACGTGCATGTACGGGACCACACGTGTGTGTAGGCACGTGTGCCTGTGCTCTCAGACCAGTTACAATCGAAAGCCACAGAAGATGCGTCTCATTTTCACAAAAGGCCATTCTTGCCCACTCAATTCCCCCATCAGCAGAATATTAAGGGAATGCATTCCCATGCAGTGGCTTGACGCTACCGCATTTGATTTAAAGTGTCACGGAGATGGTCCCCACGGATGGACCGCTTTCGGGCTGCCAGTAGCACTGAGGCTCCGTTAGCTGGGTCACTGTGGGCCAGCAGGGCTCCAGGCGGTGGGGCGCCCTGAGGAATCCCTAATGTAGTTTAGGAAAAGAAGACATTTAATCATTTCTTACCATTAACACAGCACCACTTCAAATTACATTATTTAAATTAAAATAATAAATAAAAAGAAACTCTCAGAGAACTCCAAGATTGGGGAATATGAAGTAGTAAATAACTTTTATCAGGAATAAAAAACCCAAACTACTATCTTCTTTGGAACAGAAATCTGAAGGTGGTGAGAGAAAAGAACACAGCCTTGCAGGTGGTGGTTCAAAAAGATACACAGGTCGGGGGCTCCTCCCCCCGGGGTACAAGCTGCTTTTTTGAACCGCTAGAGAAAAAAAAGGGATGGTGAGGCCTTCTTTCCACCACCTTTCCTTTCAGGGCCACGTGCAGCCCCACAACTGGCCACTTCTTGGTGAGGATGACTCTGGACCCCAAGGGACACAGATCCTCACTGATGCTGACAGAAAACACACAGCTGCAGGAAAGCAAAGCCAGGAATGGAGCTGTCTGGTTGGTTTTGTTTTTACTTCAGGGCGAAGTGTTTTGTTTCCTTTGCCCAGATTTTCTTAAAATGTGTCCTGACTGCAAATTCCCTTCATTCTCTGCTTACTAATAACACTGAGGGAGTCAGCCTTAGGCCTTTTTTCAAAAATATTCATAGAACCATAAATTTAAGGCCCTCATTATGCTACACACAAAATATGCACTCCAACTTGAAAGCCAAAAGTGGCACTTAAAAAAAAAAAAACACAAAAAAAACCCTTGGACCAAAAAGCAAATGCATTCACTATGGGGAGAAAGGGGGGCACGGGTAGTAAGAGAACACGTGTGTCTGATTCCCAACTGCTTGGCTCCTTGCTGTCCATCAGGAATCACAGATTAACCACCTAACTCCTAAGCACTCAGATCACAGGTGAAGAAATGATCCAGCAAACAGACAAAATCATAGACATTCTACAGCCAGTCTGTTTTTTCTTTGTGCTGTTGTATGATTTTGTATTATTACAGCACCAACTCTTCTACACTCTTGACTTGATGTATCTAGAGCCAAAAATTCAAGTCTTGAAACTGATAGGATTTTGCAAAGTAGCTGAAAAATGATAATCCTGTCCTTCAGCATCTTCCTCCAGTATCTGAGTTTATTTTATTGCAGGGCATACGATGGCTACAGACGACGTTTATCTTTCGGTTCCAGTAACGACCAGGAACACTGGGGTTAAGATCCATCAGTGAAATTACCCCGTCATCACGTCCCATTTCTGCTAAGCTTGGACCAAGTGGTTAAAATTTGACATTCAGGAATGTACGTCTTCCCTCTTGCCCACTTCACTGTATATGAATAAACATAGGACTCTCTGGCATAATAGTAAATTTCAATTAAAATAATTAAGACAATCTTATTAGCACAGCTGATAGGGGGACTAAAATAACAATTAGGAGGGGATGTTGTTATTCTTTCTGTTCTCTTCCCTCCCACAGACAGATCCCCCTCTTTCCCCAGACAAGAGCATAAAAGACTTTCCAGGAGCATAGCAATTATGATGGGTGAAAAAAAGCATGTGTCTTCTTTACACAATGCAATCAAGTCTCTTTGCAGTGCGGGCAAACAATGCAACTTCCCATCAAAACTAACTTAGAGACGAATGATTTAAGTCACAATTTTTAAAAAGTCCACAGAAGGGAAACTGCTCACATGTGAATTTACCACTCTCTACGTAACGAGGCATGACAACCCCGGATGTACCAATGGAATGCAGAGAAAACAAAACATAGCATCTCCTTGTGTTCCGGTTGATCTTCTGATACCAACAACCATCTCCCGAGCACACGCTGAGTCGGGCTCAGCACAGAACGCAGGAGCCCAGGGGGTGGCTCTCAGTGCTTCCTGGTGCAGCAGGAGAGGGGGCGCCTGGCAAACGGTCACGTCAGCAGGGGCAGATTCTAAACCCCTCTTTACCTGCTGTGCTCCCCAAGCACACGCTCACTGCTCCACCTCGCCTCAGCCTCACCTGGGACACTTGGCAACACTGGGAACAGGTGAACATCAGCAGACCCACCCACCAGCACTTCAGAATCTGCATTGCTAACAAGCTCCCCTTTGGATTTTTTGAAAAGCTGAAGAAGTCAGTGTGAGTAAATGTGGAAAAAGAAGTCAGATGTGCAAATGTGAAAATCCAACATGAGCAATCCAGACCAGGGATGATGGAGCCAGGCTTCTCCCACCAGGCCCCACCCAGCCCCACGACCAGGGCGCCCGCTGCAGAGGGACACCCAGAGGTGGGAGAAGGAACTCATGCGAGCGGCCTGGGCTCCAGGAGTCCTGGGCAGATGGTGAGGTTGGGTGCCCTCACCCTGCAGCATCTTCCCGTCTCTCTGACACTCGGTTTCCTCGTAGGTAAAGGAAGTACTTCCCTCCCAGGGATGCTGTGAGGACTGAGATGATGCAGCCCCACACCTGGCGAAGGGCTGGCTACCCATGGTGGAAGCCCTCCTATCGCCTCGGGAGGGTGATTAGAGATCCACGCTTCCAGCTCCCCGTTTCTTGCGTGGCGAGGACACATGCTGGGTTCACTGCCTGTTTTGGGGCCAGAAGTGACAGTGGACCACAGGTGAGCCTGAAGTACCATGTGGCCAGAAAGGCCCTGGCCACACAGGCACACCACAGCTACCCAGTTCGCAGCAGCCCATTCAGTCTAAAGTGAACAAAACCAGCCAAAACGTATTGCTGGTTACTTTCAACCCCAACCCAATTTACATTACACTGAACGAGGCTGCCACTTTGATAGGTCAGACTGGTCAAATAATGGCAATTGTGTATGGCTCAGTCTGTGTAGCACCTGAGAATGCAGAGAAAAACCTGTATCCAGGTGGCGTGATTACTAACATGCATCAGATCCTTTGCAAAGCTCCAAGATCATCCTGAAAATACCTCCACTCATCCTATGCTAGCAGAGAGCCGTCAAATCAAAGCAACAGAGTGTGGGGCTGTGATAAAGCAAGAGGTCTTTCAGTGGACTTGAACTGAGGAGGTAAAGTTCCTCTGCGAGGATCCCTGCACCCCCCATCCTTCCCCGCCTGCAGGAACCTGCTGGGGCCAGAGTGGGGAGGCAGACACACAGCTCCATGGCTCCCCAGGCCTCCACTCCTCAGCTGGCACTGCATCAGATAAAGGCTGGCCAGCGCTCCTCATTCAGCAAGGGCGCTGAAACCTCACCATACGATATTAAACCAGCCATGTTTAGGCCGGTGGGCTCAGCCCCCGACAGAGCTAGGAACGTGTGTTTTTTCTTCTAAATGATCCAACAGGAGCATGTGGCCACAATTAGACAGACTTTATGGTCTCTCCTCCCCGCTTCAACCCTGTTTGGCTCCAGTGACCTCAAATCCAGGTTCCAAGCCAAACTTGCAAAATCATACACAAGGACAAAAAAGAACCTAAAATTGCAGGTGAAATTTCAAAAACAATGTGTTATCTCAGAGATTGAGAAATTTACTTGAAAAACATAAATTTCACAGGGATTAAAAAAAATAAAACTATTCATTTTAGCAACAGAAACGTGAGGGAGCATTTTCAAGCATTCACTATCCCAAGCATATGCCGAAACCCGCACAGAAAAGAGCGGGGGCCTCCACACAGACC